AAGGTTCTTTCATGTTGAATGGTGAAGTGAATAGAAATAATTGTAAAACTAATCAATATAGTTTATTGAATGATTTCACTAAAAAAGGGTTTTACAAAAACCGCGACACGTGTTTCGTTATACAATAGCTCCTTCAAGGAGTTTATGTTTGAAAACCCTTTCATAGTGAAAATCATACAATAAACCATATTGATTAGTTTTTTAATATGGATTTTCATCATCAAGTATCAGCCAGTTCCTTTCAATTAGAAATAATTGTCGTTAAAATATAATGAATATTACTGGAGTTTTTTCCCAACACCAAATCGTATTTTCAACACCTCGATACGTGTTTCGATCATCAAGTGATCATCTTCAAAGAGGAAGGTTAAAACTGCTCCAGTAATATTCATTACTACACCAAAGGTTCCAAACAGTGCATCATAAGTATATAATAGTCGTTACTCGAGCGATGTGAATCCTCATTTGGTGATAGAAACACATTCACAAACTCCTCAAAAATAGAATGTCTAGGTCGCCATTATTGGTAATCATATTGTTGGATCATTCTTCATTGAAGGTAATCTCAATGGAGACACATACTTAAATCTATTACAAGACTGTGTAGATCCTATGATTACACAAATTTTAGAAAAGGATGACAATTTTGTAGAAAATGAAATAACATTCATGGCAGGATGGTGCACTCCCACATTTTGATGTTCGGGTGAGACAGTTTTTGGACGAAGGTTTTCCAACGCGTTGGATCGACAGAAGTGGTCCAGTGGAGTGGCCAGCAAGATCACCTGATCTCACACCGAGGGATTTCTTTCTGTGGGGACACCTGAAGCCAAGAGTATGCTCTACTAACCTACAAATCTAGAAGACCTGCGACAGATAATTGTTCGGGAACGCCGATTTCTGACTCCGGTCATTTTGAATAATGTTTACTCTTTCGAGAGTAGACTGTATTATTGTATGGAACTAGGTGGAGGTCCTTTTGAACAATTTATTAGTTGCATGAAAGTGAAGAGTTTTTTCGGAAACTTCAAAGAAGGTGAGAGCAAAATCACAAACAGGAGAGAAAATTCGCTGTCGCTCATTTTATTGAGGAAATCAACAAAAGTAATATCAATGGCAACACAATCAACGGATAAAGTGTTCAAAATGACCTCCATCTAGTTCTATACAATAATACAGTCTACTTTCGAAAGCGTTCCTGTCGCAGGTCTTCTAGATTTGTAAAATTTATTTAATTGGTAGTGAAAGTTTTGAAATGGACGACACTGTTAGTTTTTTCTGCACTGGTAGTTTCTGTGGAATTTAGTTGTCGCAGAACAAACAGTAGATAGTTGGCCACTGCCACTTCTTCACGAATTATTATTCAGTCATCCTTGTTCACGGTGTTCCAACATGGTTTATTCTACTGAAGAAAGAATATAAATTGTTGCAACTTATTATCGAAATGATGAATGTGCTAAAGCTGCTGAAATAATTCATAATACAAATCATCCAGATCACAACGTGAACCATCAATACGTTGAACAGTTAATGGATAAGTTTCGAACTCCAGGTTCTGTTCACAACAGAAAACATGAAGTATTCCGTCCTGTCAGAAATGACGGAGTTGAAGTTGGAGTTTCAGGGCACGTAGGTACCTACAAATCGATAATCGATAATCTATTTGACAAGTAGCAAGAGCGTCTGGTGTATCAGCTACTAGTGTTTTACGGATTTTGAAAGCCTACAAATTCCATTCTTTCTAAATAAGACTAGTTCAGGAATTGAACGAATATGATCCTGATCGTCCTAGTTCAGGGTAAATTTTCGTTATGTGGACACCCGGCGATTTTGAAAAAATTTTTGACTGTACTTACGTATTTTGATGCGTAGATTACGATTCCGAAAGAAAAAAGCGGCGCTCTCCTTTATTTAAAAAGTTACGGCCCTTCAAAGTTCAGAAAAGGGCAACTTTTCAGCCTTCTTTTTCACTAAATAAACTATTTAAAAACACAAGCACACATCAGGCATATCATCGAGTAATATTCCTGAAGAACATCCTTTAACATCAAATTTCATTAGCTACTTTAAATTGAGAAGTCATCTGGGAAAAACAGGCGTGGCTATTCCTTTTCATAAATCTACGAGTTCCTACCTGTGCCCGTATCAAAACTGTTTCAATGAATACCTGTCCACCCACCACATGCAATGTTCCTAGTATCAATGCATATATACGTATATGTATTTGATTCCATAACATATTGTTCAGTCATTATAACAATATTAGTATATAATGTATTAAGTAATTAAGTTTTGCTATATTCTACGAAAATTTATTACTTAATAATTTTGTTAAATAAAACAATTACCTAGATAGGAATCTGGGACTGATCTACTGCGCCGAAGGGAAGCAAAGACCATAAAAAAAGAGAAGAAGAAGAAGGAATCTAGGACAAACGTCAAAAATTATGGATTTCTATCGATTTGAAATTTGTATTTTTATGAAAAATTTGTATCATAATGGATCTCATTATGTAACGGATTATGGGCATATAGAAGGGGTGTAGAAAAAAGTCATTGAGGTATCAATATAGGAGTGTGTGATGAAAGCCAGGTTACTAACTATTTAATATTTTATAATAATGACACAACGTCTGGCGTCTGACTGATATACTCTCACAAAGGTCAGCTGTAGGTACCTTCGACAGGTAAAACAAAAACGATGTTTTTAGTGCGGAATCGGTAGAATATTCACAATACACCAATACCTACCAAGGAAACGCCTAAAATAACATTAACCGAATAACAAAATTCTACAAGGGTATCGGGGTCACGTTTATTTATTTAATCAACTCTTAGTTGAATCGGTTCCCAAATACAGATTTTTTACAACTTACGATAACGTGGAATTATGAAAGGTATAGAAAGAATTTTGAGTTTGTTGGTAAAATGTTTTGTCCGTTTTATTGTCGCGTATTTTTGTAGAAAGTCCTGGAACAGTCCAGAACATTCCAGGGTAGTTGAGAGCATTCCAGAACGTCTCAGAACATTCTGGATTGTTTTGTGGAGTGTTCCAGAATAGTCCTCTGAGTGAAGCCGAGTCCTTGTTCCAGTTACTAAATAATAAATATGTACCTACCTATTCATGTCAAGAACGTAAGTATATCTGTTTTCTTCGACTAAAAAATGGGGTGAAATATTGATTAATTGGAAATTCGAAATGCCAAATCATTTTACAACATGGCGGTCGGTATCTGCTTGTGAGTATCTTCATGATAACTATAAGGTATACAAATTTCACGAAATTGTCGGCATTCCCTAGTCTTTTCAAAAGCAAAGAAATGTTCTAAATAGATTTTATAGTTTCAAACGTTTATGGAGTTTTATGTAATATCTACTGCAAACTAAAACTTTCGTTTATTTCAATACTCCATATTTAAGAAATATATTGGACTGGAAAAATTGCACGGGGTACGCCATCTGCAATGGAATAGACGAACTTACGCAAGACTATTGGACTAACATATTTCAAGAAAACCTTATGAAGAAACTCTGAGTAGTTTGGACTACTAATAAGTAGGTGGCGCAAACAAAACCATATTCACTTTTAGATAAACTAGGCGAGTTTCTAAATTCATCAGTGTGTACACCGATTATTGATCCATTCGAAACGATAGCGTTTTCTTTTCAGTTGAAGTGATCCATCGGAATTTTGCTGTTCAACTCAAGAACTCGCCTACAGAACATAAGTGACTTGCGACAGTTGTAACTTGGCTTCGAAGGGGGGAAATCTTAACTTCACTTTCTATGATGTAATTTGTAAGTTTTGATTTCAAAGTCAGAATTACGACCTTTTTTTCATTGTAACCCAACTTATCTTCTAACCTAACGAAATTTTATTCATGATTCACTTTATTCCGAGCTTAAAATCGAAGTTTTCGAGTTGATGAATGTTGGGAAACAAATCCGATTTTGAAAACGGAAATAGTGTAGCCTTTCTACAATTTTGTGAAACTTTTATAATATTCGCGGGATCATTTCAAAAACACGGGAGCCAAGGTGCAACTGTCAAAATTCATCAGTGTGTCCACCGATTATTGATCCATTCGAAACGATAGCGTGTTTTTTTCAATTGAAGTGATCCATCGGAATTTTGTTGTTCAATTCAAGAATTCACCTACAGAACACAAGTGACTTGCGACAGTTGTAACTTGGCTTCGAAGGGGGGAAATCTTAACTTCACTTTCTATGATGGAATTTGTAAATGTTGATTTCAAAGTCGGAATGAAGACCTTTTTTTCATTATAACCTAACTTATCTTCTAACCTAACTCAATTTTATTCATGATTCACTTTATTCCGAGCTTAAAATCGAAGTTTTCGAGTTGATGAATGTTGGGAAACAAATCCGATTTGGAAAACGGAAATAGTGTATAGCCTTTCTACAATTTTGTGAAACTTTTATAATATTCGCGGGATCATTTCAAAAACACGGGAGCCAAGGTGCAACTGTCGAGTAACATTTCTCTCTCTATGTTAATAGCTTTTGCTTCCATTGAGGCGCATTTAGCCATATCGAGGGACATTTTGCATAGGAATTTTATGAACGAATTTTTTTGCTACAGTTTGAACTTCGCTCCTAAGTTTTGCAAAAGGAAACATTTTGACCTTACGTTATATAATATAAATTGGAAATTAGAACCTAAAATTCAGGCGTTTTCTTTATTTCAGCCCAACCTAACCTGCCTTATTCACAATTCATATTATATAAAAAAAAGATTGGTATGGCCATCGACGCATTCGTTCAACTGTTGAAATAATTGTGAGGATGAGCATATCATAAGTATCATGAAATGAGTAAGATATATGTAAATTATATCGATGATCACAGTTATTAAGAATAATTATCTCCATATCCGGACAAAGAGCCATGTTTCAACTGCCGCAACACACTCAATTCTGTGATAACTGAGTCCTTGAGTTTTTTAAATCAGCCAGATTACTATATCCTGTGAATCAGCTGAGAAACGTCAAATTTGAATGTTGGCAAATGTATCAGGAAAGGAGATTTCAATATTTTCGTTAAATGTTTTAAAATAATAGAGTTTATTTGTGGTTCTACAGCTACCAAGCTCTATATCTATCAAGATTGTTATCTGTTGCCCTTAGTGCCAAAATGATTTTGAATTATGTGAAGTCAAGATATTTCCATGTACTTCAGCTCAGTGGATTTCTTTTCCAATACTTCAAATCATATAATTCAGTGAAATTGATTCCACAAAATCTTGGAATTCTTCGGATTACGCAAAGTTTCTCCACAGTGGGATTTAATGAAAAAGTGTGCTGGAAATGTGGAGCTGAACGAAAAATTGCCGAATTATTCTGTGATAAATGTCATGTAATACAGAATCCATCTGAGAAAGAAAACTATTTTAAATTGTTTCAAATAGAAGAGCAATTTAGCATAGATGAAAAATTATTGAGGGATAAGTTTAGAAAAATTCAGAGTGTCATACATCCCGATAAATTCAGTAACACGTAAGTTGAAATACGGAGTGAGAAATACTTGAATGAAAGCCGAATGTTTGAATAACCTAGAAGCATCGATTTCCTTAATAATGGAAAGGGTTTTCCAAAATATCCCTTGCACTCACCACATATTTTACTTAATTTTATAATTCTTTACAGAAAGCTTCAAATATTATTCCTAGCATTTGTGGGTTTTCACTCCCTTGAAATAATTAGGGGAGTGAAAGCCCATAAATGCCAGGAATAACTTACGTAAGTCCCCAAATAACATTCAGACAATGAGACTCCAAATAAACTAACTTTAATTTTTTTTTGACTTCAACTGCAGAACTCATGAGGAACAAACTATTTCAGAAGAATATTCATCTTTAATCAACAAAGCTCACAGTAATCTACAGTCTCCTTTGAAAAGGGCAGAGCACTTGCTTCAACTGAAAGGACAAACTATAAGTGAGGGACAAACCGTGGACAATCCTGAGTTCCTGTTAGAAGTTATGTCTCTTAATGAAGAGGTATGGTTAATACATTTTGTGTATAGAGGGACTTAATTTAAATCTTTTACAAAAAAAATATTCATTTGTGCTTGAAGGAAAAATGAGTTCAAAACCAATATAGTTAGTTGTTCCAAGTAATATTTCAAATGCTAGAAAACAATATCAATCATCAATACATCCAAATCTACAAAGATGAAGCGTTTGTGAATATTTTTCATTAAAGGAATGAAGTTAAATATTGAATTCAGTAAATTGTACAATATTTACAATGTTGTATATTAAGATATAAGGATGGGCTCCAAAAAAATAAGTAACGTAGGTAATGGGAATAAAACCCAGCGTGAGAAATTCCAATTTTTTCTCACAACTTTTTTCTGGATGTCAGCAACAAGTGTGGCTTTTCATGTATGTGAATGTAGCCTGAAGAAAAAAGTTCTGCTTTGTGGTGATGTTATAAATATAATGAAATCGTGAAGTGGTATATGTTGAGCTGGAGTAACTCAGTTAATGATCCAAAACTGGTCGGCAGCAAAAAGAGGGTATTCAGAGATCCTCATGAATTCCAAACTGTAGAAAGGTATTTCGTTCAATACAGACCCCTTCATTTCAACTAATTTGAGAAAGGCCCTTACATGCAGCTTTGTGGAACATAGGGATAATGAGAAATTTGTTTTTTTGTTTTTTTTTAATACAAATACATTTTCCCCATTCACTCAAATAGATTGAAATTGATATTTTTTTTCAGGTTGAAGAGGCAGAAGGTGATATCAACAAAATGAAAGAGCTCAACGAAAAAAGCAAAATGAGGATTGAAAACATTTTACAAAGAATTGATGATTGTTTCAAAAATAATGACATTGAAACTGCAAAAAATAATATAATCACATTGAAATATTACTGCAGTATTAGCAACAGAATAAATGGATCCTTGAGAGAGTTGGGAGTATCCGAGTAAATTTTTAGGATTAAAAAAAGTGAGAGATATGTTTTACATTTCACTACAATTTTATTGTATATCATTTGTACAGGTCAACAAGTTTTACTCAATGAATAAAATGTTTTGCACAGAATTCTATTCGTGAAAATATTTCTTCACAGTAATTTCTGACAGACGCCTAAAAATGTTATGGTATAACGAAACACGTGTTGCGTTGTTGAAAATTTTCAAATGGAAATCTCACATTGAAGTATGTATTTCGAATAAGAACTATTTCTATAGTTGTTCCTATGATGAAACTACAAAATATTCAAGGAACACCTTCATTAACTGAAATGTGCATATTCAATGCTTCATTTTACAATTTGAAATACCTGAACATCAAGTACCTGATTTTAACCTACCCAAATGATGTTAAAAATATGTACCTGAGCTTGGAAAAAAAATCAATTATCATTAACATAAAAAAAAAGTGTAAACTCATTTAAATAAACATGTGATAAATGAAATTACCTGAGATTGTTTATTAGTCAATTACTAGTTTCCACATTTAGTAAATTACCCGAATGTTTAAATCTATTCCTAAACATTCTATGCTCCTTAGTTCTTTGGGGAACTGTTCTCCCCGTTTGGCCAATATAAAATTTTCGGGACGAGCCACAAGTATCGACTGATTCACATACAAAAAGGTGATTTATCAAGTTACTTTATTTTGATGAAATAAAAAAATACCACTCAGTCATTCAAGAAGTTGACAAAAAATTTAAATTGCATAGGAATTTTTCTAATAAACTGAAAGTATGCACATTCAATTAGCAAGTTTTCAGTAACAATTAGGTTAGTATAGACGCTTGAAGAAGCTTTTATATAGTGAAACACGTGTTCTTATATTATTTGTTTCTTTTATTGCCGAAATGGAAATTGATGATACTGTGTTAAAAAATACCCAATACTAGGTTGTTTCAAAACTTTTGTCCGTTTTTATATGTCTACTTTAAACTATTGAATACGTATTCAATTAAAATATGTCTACTTTGAACTGTTGAATACGTATTCAATTAAATTGACATCAAAACAGCTTCTTCAAATGGAAAACTTAATGTGGGAATACCTAGTGCTGTTAGAGCATACATATATATGAACTTTTTCCATAAAATATGACGAAGAATAACCCCCCTGAACTTGAATCAATCACTTAGTTTGCCAGTCAAAATTGATTTTCAACTCAGAGATAGGTAACTCGGAATTCAAAACGTATATAGACATATTAGAGAAAGCACCAAATGACTTGATTCTCAATGAACAAAAAACAGAAACTCTAACTTTTGAAACAATTTGCTTAAATCGAGATAACAAAAATTCTACCAAATTTTTGGGAGTACAAATAGATTCCAACCTGAAATGGATAGACCATATAAATAGCATGTGTAGTAAACTTAGTAAGATAGTTTTTGCTATCAAAGTTTTTGTAAATCAAAGTGCGGCACTTGCAACATATCATTTACTTTTTAAATCAGTCCTTAGGTATGGTATAACCAATTGGAATAATGCATCAAAGGTACATCTTAATAGACTATTTGTCATTCAAAAATCTGCAGTAAGAAGCATAATCTCTGCCAATTATGATGAAAAGTGTCGACCAATATTTGTAAAACTTAAAATAATGACCCTATATTCAGTTATTGTCTATGAAAATCTGCTTCTTGTTCAACAAAACTTGATGAATAAAGTTGCTCACAAGGATATACACCAACATGATACAAGAAATAAATCAAACCTTGTTCTTACGGCTAATAGGTTGAAAAGAACAGATAATATAGGAATTAAGCTATACATTGCCTTATCTGTCGAATTTCGTAACTTGCCATTCAGAATTCAAAAACTTGTTGAAGAAAATGTTAACCAAACATCCTTTATATGAAATTGATCAATTTTTAGAAGTTATTCAAGAAGAGAAACTTTTGTGGTCACTGCCCGAACTTTTACTCAACTTTGAATATATATAATATGTTAGCTATGTGATGTATAATTTGGCTTTACATTTTGGTCAATTTTTATAAGATTGGAATTTTATCTTGTTAAATTCTATTTTTTGTAAATCTAATTTATCTACAAGCATTTTTTAGAAACCATATTGACGAATCTTATCCTATCAATCCTATTTTAGAAATTGTATTGACGTGTCTAAAAACTGTGTTTCTTGAGACAAATAAAATCATTATTATTATAATACCGCCAATTTGTTTGGGTCTTATTAAACCAATGATTATGTTTCTATTAACCAGCTGTCCCCAGCCTACAAACGACGAATCTCTAAAGTTGAAACTTGTGTGAGCTAGGGACTAACAAGGTCTCACCTTTTAACGTGCGATTCCCAGCACGGGTTGGACGATACCAAGTGAAAATTGATCGTACGACATCGTGATTTGAACCACCGGACGATTGAATGAGTAGAGCAAACCATTCACGCCCAACAAAATTCTGTTGGAGTTAAAATGAAACCAACTGTTGAATTAATTTTTTTTATAAAAAAAAATGAAAATATTTCAACAGAAATTTTACATGCTAAGGATATAGCAACGTAATACATATGTAAATCTAGATATGTCAAATATATAGAGCACATCGTCTTTGATAAATAATGTACCTATAAAATTATAAATGTTTTCTTTATCATGGAACATATTAAAAAATGTTCAAATTTTGAGAATTAATAGCGGGTTCACTACAAATATAATTTTCAATATTGGCATCAACTAAAATATCTAAGATAGATAATAACGTGCATTTCTTCACTGAACAGATACTATTTTGTTAAACATTCATCAGGGGGAATATAGGTGTGCCACATTGAGGGATTTATGAAAGTGATGAAAATGACACTAATTATAAGTAGAGGAGTGAAAAAATGAATAGAATTTCTCTCAAGTCACAGGCCTTTCGATTTTACAATATCTTTCACGGGGACAAGAAAATATACGCTTTCTTCCCGAGATACATAATTTGGAGATGAAATGGAGCCAAAGCTTCAAACGTGAATCAAGAATGATACTATTTTGAGAACGATACTAAAATAATGCTTTCGTCAAAGGCAATAAACTTGGTCTTGAGTGTAACATGAACAATGAAGAAATGCAACTCGTTCATACACTGAATCAAAGCTAGTTATGTACAATAGAAGTCAATTGGAAAAATAAAAATTACTCAAATCAGATCACAAAACTTACAGCTAGACGTAAAATAAAATCATCTGAACCATAATATTCAACTATAAACAATATTAATCTGACGATGGTGATCAAACTTACACATGAAACAAATAAAGTACCGCATATCTAACACGTGATAGATAAATGTACCCTGAATATTTCAACACGCAAAGAAAATTAACCATTTTTGTTATCTTCTGCAGAGGGGGCAGCCCACGTTAATCGTTCCTCATAGAATTTGATCACAACTTGGGGACACTTAACATTGGCCTGTTTAGCTGGTACCAAGTCTGCTTCGTCTGTGCCAACCCACTTCATGAGAAACATAAGCGGACCTAGGCATAAAACACAGCAATTTTAAAATTGATAATAATGATTGGCTTCATTCACTGACAAAAGGCAAAGTTTAGCTTGAGCTGTTTTTCAACTTGACCCATAACTGATGTTTGGAGGACAAACTGAATATGAAAAAGTGTTTTTGTATAAATCAATGTTCATATGAAACTAGTTGTTTCGAAAGTACTCTTTCTCTCATGTAATTCAATGTTTATATGAAAGTGTTTATAACAATAGTGAAATACTCCTGGTAGATGTACGCCTATTGAAAGAATTTTCAAGCCCTCAATCAATATTGAAGATGTTTATTAGATTATAAATAGAACATATTCTTCAATGAATTGTTTATTCTTCAGAGGCTTCAATGATATTAACTCCACAAACATTTAAACATAAATAGTCTGGTCATTCAAGGTCATCTTGGATGCTTGAAAATATGCTGACATTTCAAGTTACTGATATTCTGATTCAAGAGTATTTTATAAACATTTGTTGTAAGGTAGCGGAAAGTGCTGATTATTGTTCAGAAAATAATTATTGCCCAGAAAATCTTTATTTTATATGCTTTGTATATTAGGATGCTTCTTATTTCAATTAATCACTATTAGTCGTATGTGCACACCAAAGATCTCGTATTTCTTACCAGAACTATCTGTAGCTCCAATAATTTTTTCAGGCTCCAGTCCTCTATCAAAACCGTGAATTTTTTTGTCATCTTTGCCTCTTTTAGGGGTGTCCTCAGCTTTTCGTTTCTTACTATTTCTTTCTTTTTCCTTGGCAGCCTTATCAGCTTCATAGGCTTTGATCAGACTTGGACAATCGAAATTTTCCTCTGGTTCCCAAGTATTGTCTTTATCGTCATAACTGAAAATAAATCAAAACTGTGGTCAACTCAAATAGCAGATAGAAATGAGCTACTCACCCAATCCATTTCAACAAATATTCTTTCACTCCATTACTGTTTATCCTACTGTCTATGATTTTCTCAACGATGTACTCCTCGTTGGTCTCTTCTGGTTCTGGGGACTTCTTACCTTTACTCATTTTGAAAAAAACTTGTTATTTTTTAAATAACCTCAATGAAAAATATCTGGAAGTGAAAATAAGGTAAGTTCCCTGTAAAAATTTACGTGAGATAGAATCGTTATACCTCCAATGAGGAGACTCTTTAATTCAAGAATCTGATATTCGTCAACAAATAATAACGCTTTATAACCAAACGAATATGGCGGGTGGAATAAACATTCTTACCGCCATCCGCACATTTGATTGGGAGAATTTTGACATTTCATGTATCCATTCACCATTTCTAAAATAGACAGGAAATCGACGAATCGACCGCTGAGGGCGTTAGTATTCGCATCACAGAACTTAAAGTAAGTTCTGTGATTCGCATGGAAATTGAAAACAGGCCTATGTCACAGAATACTACTCTGACAAGTTCCAATATTTCAACTTCTATAAGATATTTTGGAAACTCGGACAAGCACAGATGCGCCTTACGTTGTACTAAAACTATGAATAAAGTTTCGAAAAACATTAGACTTGAATTTTCAATATTTGTCACTAAAAAGAGTTGCCCAACACTGCACCAAATGCCTCCTTTCTTTGTCCAGTGAAATACAGTATTTTCAGAACTCAATGAAGGTAGAAAGATAAAATTAAGTTGGTAGATACATTGCTAGATCACAGAATATCGAATGTAGTTCCGATGTTATGGTTTTGCGTGTTCTGTGTTCTATAAGTAGTTAAGAATTGATATTGATGTTATTAGTTGTAGCGTCTTTTGAATTAAGATATTTTGAATTGTTAACTAATCAATTGAAACATTTTTGGTATCCAGCAGCTCATGTTTAATATTCTTTTGACTTCATAAAATACTTAACAAAGTAAGGTAAGTAATCATTTTCATTCAAGCGGCAATGATGAATGCTAACCTAACAAAATGAAATGGTTGAAATATCTGATGTGACAAAATGCGTTTTTCAGGTACTCTCGCCAATATGAGTAAAAGAAATAGTCCTGTTCCTCCTGAGCAGCTAGAACCTGTTGCAGCTGAAGAATTTGTTGTGGAAAAAATCATTAGCAGTCGAGTCAATGAAAAGGGAGTAACAGAGTACTACTTGAAATGGATTGGATATGATGAAAAAGAAAATTCATGGGAGCCTGAAGAGAATTTGGATTGTCCAGGTCTTATTGAAGCATTTAAGAAAGATCAAGCACGAAAAGAAAAAGATGCAGAGAGGAAAAGGAAGTTGAGTATACAATCTGATGGAAAAAGTACAAAGAAAAGGAATGACGAAAAAAAATCCCTGGGGTTCGATAGGGGTCTACAGCCAGAGAAAATAATTGGCGCCACTGATAGTCCAGGTAAAAACCTTTTTCCTTTATTTATTATCCTTCAATATTTGTTCTCAGGGCTGCCTTGGTTTTGAGAATTGTTTTTAAACCCACATATTTTAATCCACTGATCACAATTCTGAAGGTCAAACTTGGTGGTTCGGTCTACTTTCGCAGATATGGCTACTCAACAGTCAATACTGTTAGATAATTGGCTGATATGATATGTGTTATTACCGTCCAATTTCTGTACATCAATAATTTTGCTAAATTATGCGAACAATCTATCAAAAATCGAGTAATAGATGTCTTCAGTAAACATCATATAATAATACAACAATTCAGGTTCATTAACAAATTAAATACCGAAAAAACCGTGCTCGACTTTGTGGAACAAACTATAGGGGCCTTCGACAGGTTTTTGAAATGTCTTGCTTTGCATGAAAACCTACTCGAAAAACTGTAATTATGGTATTAGAGGTCATGTAATGTGGGTATACCTCAGGGAACAATAACACAGATTAATAAATTGGAGGGCCATATAGTGTGTTATGCTGATAATACGGCCATAATTTTTACAGGTGAAAGTTGTTTTGATGACGAAAAGCAATAACCAAAGTCATCACTATCAGAATTTCGCAATTACTTTCAATATCTAACGGTGGTGTTGAGATTAAAGATCAAGTCTATCACACCAACGACCTGCGTTCAATTCTCCAATGAAACCTTTTTTTATGACGTCATGAAAGAAAAATGTGTTGAGCGAAAAGGTGGGCTGACGTAAGCGCGCCATGTGACTCGGTGGTCTGCCTCTTTAAGGGATACGCCTGATCTTGGTTGTCTGTCTGCCTGAATTATTTATGCCTACAGAAAATTCAAATCTCCCGCCACGATGTTCTGAGATGCAGAAGCATGCGAGCTGATTAGCTGGTGAGCTGGGTGACAGTGTGAGGATACTACGTGACAATTTGGTACACTCTGATTGGCTCACCGCCTAGTTAGCTGGGTGACAGTTTGAGGACATCACGTGACATTTGGTTGGTTGGGTGGCTGGTTGGTTGGGTGGTCTGTCTGTCGAGTTGAGAAGCAACCTGACTGGTGTGATGATGTCACTGTCTGCCTGAATTGGGGGTACTCCTACTACTATGGGAATCTATGAGAGAAAAATAGGCTGTTTTTAAATGGACGTAGCCTAGTTCTGTAGAGATTACTTTCAGCGCTTAGTTTATTGTATGGTTCTTGAAATTCAATTTATCATGTATATTCCGCCCAAGAAATTAATGCATGAGTAATTTTGGATATCGGACACTCAGAAGCATAGAAGAACAAACAGTGATCAGTTGATTTATTATATGTTTAAAAAAATATGTTTTTTCCGTTAACCAGCTATCGTACCCCTTCGAACGACAACCCTCAGAAGTTGAAACTTGTGCGAGCTAAGGACTAACGAGGTCTTACCTTTTAACGTGTGATTCCTATGCAATGATTGATTGATTTTACACTGTATTCAAGCACCTGTACAATATATCAATTATTTTTTCAATTCTTCAGTTATGGAGTAGATAATTAAATCCCATATTTTTCAGGTCAACTGATGTTTCTGATAAAGTGGACAGGAACAGATGAAGCAGATCTAGTTCCTGCCAAATTAGCAAATGAAAAGTGTCCTCAAGTGGTAATAAAATTTTACGAAGAGCGTCTGAAGTGGCATTCTCCCAATTTAGAAGAGAACAAAACCAACCCCGAGTAATTTTTTGAAATATTCTATAAGCATAGACTATAAGATAATAGAAATATTGACTTGGTAAACTGAAGCCAGTATCGGAATCAATTTGGTTTTATTTTATAGAAACAAAGTCTGTAACTAAATATATGTATTTTTTTTTGTGATTAGTTTGTCTGGTTTCAATGCAATTCAACATTCATCAAACTTTTTTCAGGAAATTATTTTTTTTTGTCAAGGTAGTTGATATCTCATTGTTTACTTGGAAGTTGAATGGTAACTGTGATAATAATCATACAATTATGCTTATTGTATAATTATTATCATAAATTTTCACCAATAAAGTTGATTGAATAGTAAAGAAAGAAGTTATATATTGAACTTTGACGCAAGATATGAAGTGGACAAAAGACCATCATGTAACTTTTTTCTGAAAGCAATGAAAATAACACCAGCCTTTGATATTGAAATTTTTATAAAATCTTTATTGTTTCTCATTTTTTGTGAAATATTTCAGTCACTGTAACCACTAGAATATTTTTCTATTTGTGATTTATGTACTAGTTATTAAAGTCTGATTTGTCTGACATCCATTGCAATTTTTTTTTTGAAAGTTCATGAAAGTGTTTGTATTTTGTAAATAAATGAAAGTTCTAATAAACTTTTTTAGGTAAATTCAATTGATTTTATTTCCTGTTATGAATGATGTTATATTGACAGTGTCTTGGTTGTAGTTTTTTCATGAAGTCATTGAAAATTATTTTGATTTTATTCAATTTTCCACTTGAATTTTGTGAGTAAATTGAACTTGGAACTTGCTTCTCCTTTTGTAATGTAGTTGAAAAGGTCCCAAAAAATCCTGAATCGAAAATATAACACATCTACTCAAAAGCTTATATATTCTACTTTGAACACAGGCAAGCCGGTAGTTTTATAATCACTTTCCAATTCGCTTGTTTCGTTGATCGCTTCCAATTAAAAAGTGACTCGCTCACAGCGGCTCACGTCTTTATACACCCAAACGAATATCTTCATCATACTAGAATGCACGGTAACATTCTACCAACTGCTACCAAATTCCAGAAAATTCATTGAAGCGCCATCTACCGTCGAGTAGCAATACTAGGTTTAACAAGGATTGTAGTCGATTTATTCAACTGTAGGCTGTAGGTGTTTCTTATGAACACTTACACTTACAGAAGGCATTGCCCACAAAACCAATTAAAATTGTATGTTCGTAACAACTACTTTAGGTATGCCGCATACAAATTATACAAAACTAACGTGAATGCTGATGAACGGCTGTTGTAGAAGGAAATGCAATTCACACAACACGTAACACATACACACTATATGCCCACTTCCTACCTACATATCTTTACACTATTTAATGGCAAATCTGATTTAATTGTGATGATAATGGCGGCGATTTTGAAAACGGATGTCAAAATCTTAATATTTATCGTGAATATTTCAATACTTTCTACAATATACATTGAAGCTTGTGAATTTATTTACGTTGTGTCATGTGATGCGGAATTCATCAATAGGTAAGGAAATCAATTGCTCGCACTTTGGTCGCTTTTCGGCTAGCTACATTTGATCTCTAGGGGGGGGCAACTGCCCCCCTTGGCCCTCCATTGGCGACGCCCTTGATACTTTGTTTCCTAATGGTACAAAATAATAATTGCTTGGGAAAAAATGTTTCGGCTTTCTACTTCACCATCTGATATCTGATTCAATTACATAATGAATGTTTGAAGTACAAACTGAATAGAAAAGAGTACCTATTGTTTGTATATTCCAGTGTTCATATGAAAAATATATCCCTGTCAAAACACTAACAGATTCCTCAAACAAAAACTTGCGATTTCGTTATGATTTGCCTCAAATTGTATAGGCGGCTTTATAATACTTTACCGGTTGCGTTCTACTTTTGTGTGGCAAACGGGTGGCAAACAAAAGAACTTATGAGCGTTTAAGTTGTGACTGCAACACCCGGTCCTTTCATGGGTATCTTCAATCATAGGAACAAGAAGAAGTCGCATGGGGCCAAATCTGGGAATACGGTGGCTGAAGCATGATTACGGTGTGCAGTGAGCAAAACCTTGACATTTTATCAAACTTGGCGTTATTTCAAGTGTTTTTGAACACTCAATTTAATTTTTTACACAAACTTTGATGCAAATTACTTGATCAATCCTAACACTTCTAATTTTAATGCCTTTCACAACAAACTATAGAGCTGAAACTGTGTACATATGTTGAAGTACATTGGCCAGACTAAACGAGATAATGAAATTCGCCTCAAAGAGCACATTGGTCGTATACGATTTCGCAAACCAGTGTTGTTCAACGTATCTCAAATATCAGGCACAGAATGAGAAGATTTGAAATTGTTGAGACGTCATACTTCTAGACGTATTCTGTAGTCTCCACAAGAATTTCCCCTGATTTGTATTGAGTATCAGTTTTATTAATGTATGACCCTGTTATAATAGAAGAGAGACGTCTTTTTGTTGAATCAATTTTCTAGTGTAAGAATCATCATGAAGGCAACAATTTCAAATGACGTTTAATTGAAAAAACATTTTTGATTGATCAATCATCTGTGTACTTTCTTTTTTGAGAGTTGATTACATTTTAGGAAAAAAATACGCCAATGTAACAAAATTTGCCAATGTAAATAATTAACTGAAAGCTACGCAACTCACATTTCCATTTACAAGTTTGTTGCATTGATTATACACAGCTTTCAGAACGTAATTCCTGTACTCTTAAAGTTTCCGTTTTTTTGTCAGATCCTGAATACCCTCTAGCAAGCTTTTCAATTTTTTATTTCTTTTCGTCTGGCATTTCACTAATCCGGTGAAGGTATAATGTAATAGGAAAGTTTCGACAGGTTTTTTTGCTGAATAAAAAGTTTACAATTTGTCAAGTAGCGCCCATTCAAAGGATAATGGACCTCGTTTGCATAAAATATCACAACTCACAACAATAAATTGATGGAAACTGATGGAAACACTTAGTTGAGTTGGTTGAAAGGAGCAGGTACAAATATTAAATCGATAGGCAGAATTGGAGCCTCTGTCGTCAACTGAATCTACTGGAAACTCTTTTTCCAAACCATAACAAAAATAATGTCCCTTGAGTGGCTTTCCTTAACGAAAGTGAACGCAAAATTAACGAAAACTCAAGTGCATTTTGGAATTTCATGCAGGACGAGGTAACTCGAAAATTCCCGAGTTATGAAGGATGAAACCGAAACTTACACCAAACCGCAGGAAATTACGGATGCATTCGCAAACTTCTTCAAAAGTGTTTATATTATATCTGATGTCTCTTCGTGTATTTATCCTTTACTGAGTCCCCCACTTCATATACAGAGTGGTCCAACGAAAAGTATGCACCTTGCTTTTCTTTTTTTTTGTAACAACGCAAAAATGCTCGGACAGGTCAATTTTGCTTTTGAAGGGGACACATTTCTACCTGTGCCTTCAACCCCCTAGCGAGGGTGAGTAACAACCCTAAAATTTTATATGGAAAGTGGTGTCGAGTGATATATCATTTGAAAGGGCACAAAATTATCTTTTCAATGATACCTAATTTGTTGTATTTCACTCAAACATGTAAGTATTATGGAGAAAAACAACTCCAACCCAATACTTTAAATGTGTAATTGACTTAGTAGAATCCTACTTCAGCAAGTGCTGAAAATGTGACCCATTTGCTTCCATGCAATGATACAGATTTTGTTCAAATCTATTCCTAACATTCTGTAGCATATCAGGTGTTCTACTTCTGCACTCTGCTGTAATTCGTTGGCGAAGATCTATGGACTCGGGCTGCGTAGCAAAACATTTATTTTTCAAGTGTCCCCAAAGGAAAAAGTCTAAAGGCGATAAATCAGATGACCTGGCAGGCCATTCGATGGGGCCTCTCCTTCCAATCCACCGTCCAGGAAACCGGTCATCTAAAAACTCTCTTACCGGAGTAACATAGTGAGGAGGTGCTCCATCTTGCTGGAAATTTGCATGTCTGAAGCTTTGGATAGGAAGCTGCAGGTTGACGTCATTTATACAGAGATGCAAAAAGCTTTTGATCAAATAGATTTCTTCTCATGCGTCTATCTGAATTTGGTTTTCCAGCAAATTTGGTGAAACTCATGTCAAATTATCTACTCGATAGAAAACAGTATGTAGAGTATGAAGGCTTTAAATCTGCTTTATATACTCCCAGTTCCGGAGTGCCCCAAGGCTCGAATTTAGGACCTTTTTTGTTCTTGATTGTCATTAATGTTTTATAGTATTTTTTTTATGTGTAATATCTCTCTTCAATATCCATATGTTTTGTATGTGTTTAGATAAAATTGTTTAATGAATATCTTTACTCTGTTTTTTAAATATTACTGGAGTTTTTTTCCAACACCAAATCGTTATTTTTACACCTCGACACGTATTTCGATCACCAAGTAATCATCTTCAAGAGGAAGATAAAACTAATAACTACTCAAAACTAAAGCTACTTATACTAATCAGGTACATCGTACAGGTAGGTAATCAGTAATACCACCCATACAAGTGTACCATCCTAAATTAATTTTACAATTGGCCTTTCTATTATTTACAATATGTCCTTATGTATGTTTAAATGTTACAGCTACATATAGAACAATTTTCAGCTATATAAAATTAGTTTCACAATATTGCCTATCTAAATATATTAACAATGTGTCTTTTTGTAGTAATCAGTAAACCCAACAATATTATTTCAACAAGCTATATAGTATGCTATTTGGTATTGGTCCGTTATCGTTATTCATAATATTATTATGTTTACTTATTTCCACACTCTCATAGGCATCTAGTTGCCTGTTTTTATTAACTTGTCTAACTAATCTTAAAGAACGGAAGTCTATGGAATGGTTTTGTTGCAGAATATGATGGGCGACTGGTGATTTTTCAGGTCTTCCATATTTTAAGTGTGCTATGTGTTCCTTATATCTCACTTTAATAGATCTTTTTGTCTGTCCATAATATTTTGCATCGCAGTCCTTACATTCAATTTCGTAAATTCCAGACTTTTCCGAATTCTCGACTTTGTCTTTTGGACTTCCCAAAAGGTTCTGCAGTGTATGACTTGTTTTAAAAACCACCTTCATACCTAGTTCCTTGTTCTTTTTTAAGCTATTTTTATATGATTTCTACTCTATATGTATGTGTGTACATATGTATGTATGGTGCACTTTGTCGATAAGACAAAGCTGCACAATAAACATATAGTTATTATTATTATTATGCATCTCAGCAGCATGGCTTATTTTTGGTGAGTATTCAATTCCTCTGAATTAGGATGGTAAAATAAATATGTGTCAGGGCTTCAAATATATCTCACTGTTGGAATTCAGAATTATTCGTCCCCAACGTTTTGACATCAACGTAGCTAAATGATTAACAGAATATAGTCACGCACCCTTCAGTAGAGCCACTCGTTCATTATTAATAAGCAGACTTCATACTGCTTCTCATCCCTTACACAAGTTCGCCCCAGACTACAATAGTGAAAATGTCACAGAATGGGCCAAATCCA